CACGAGCTTGTGAGCAAATTGCGAACATGCTCATGCTCACGAGCGTGGAATGTGACTGAGTAAAGATAAATTCATTTTTATCATGAACAATGAGCTGGCAACTGTGGGTGAACTCGTGAGTAGTGAGCATTAGAAGGTGGAGATTTCCACTCAAGTTGTAGGCAGCAAATGTGCAGAAACTTTCCGAAACAATTTTCCGTCACCAATACAGACTTTGAGCATTTACTCTTAATTAGAAAGTTTGGTTCTGACAAGTTGATCTGATTTCAATGGAATGAGGATCATTATGGCAGAACAAGGATAGATTCCAAGAATGAATTGATCAAGTGAATTGATCGTGTGAAGCCACGTGATTTTAATTGATCGTATGGCAGGCGATTCCAAGTGTGAATTGATTATGTTAAGCTATGGAATGAGAAGAATTTGTTTCAGCTCGTCGTTACAACAATAGAACAGATTTCAATGATGTGGGCGATTTGGAAAAAGATTCTGGAGCAGGCGATTATAAGAGTGAAATGATGAGAAGTAAACAACTTGGTAATCCAACAGAGCAAGGATTACTGAGTCAGGGCGAGGGTAGTTATGGGGATATGCACAAGAACACGGAACGTTTTGGTGCTGGTGCAAGACGTGCGAACTGTATCTAACTTTAACTTGTTACTTAACTTTAAACTTTCCCTTTTCTTTCTTCTTCTGAAGGATGATTTCACGGAGGTGAGCTGAAAATTCGGGTTACAGAGGTTTCTGAAGAGATTTTATCCAGCATCGAAAATATTTAACATGGATGATCATATAAGACACAACAATAAGTTCAGTCTTAAAAAATAATGGACTAATTGAAAATTGATGCTGTTAACTTCAGGCGGTCAGAGACGTCGTACGGGTACGGAAAGCGATGCGAATGATGCAGCAGTCGATGAGATAACGGAGAAAACGAGAACGCAGTTGACGATTCAGGATGAAAAATTATCAGTTAAAGCTGATAAAATGAACAGTCGAGATCTGGAGAGTGATGAAAAGACATTGATTGAAAAAGGTGATAAAGACTTGAGTGATAAACAAAGCAATATCTACCAGAGTTGTGGTGGTGATAAAGCAAAAGGGGACGGAAAATCTAATTAAAGAGAGGAATTTTGATTATGAATTCTCTTAAGATATTTTGAGAATTACGGATCTATTTTGGCCTCCAAATTGAGTATTCAATAACGAAAATGAGTGCCTAGTTTAAGCCCAGAACATCGAATGTTCGATTAAAATGGGTCGAAATTTGAATTAAATAATAGTCAGAGAATTGTTTTCATGTGCCTATGGAGGCAAATGTCAGTGTGTTTAGTACTTGTTGTTGTTGCTCGTGTTAATTGAGCAGTATTTATGTTTCATTCGAGAGAGAAACCGATGAAAATTTGATATGAAATCATTGCGGTGGTGATGATAATAATGGTTATTCCGTTTTATTGTTTAATTTTGATGATGTGAATAAAAGTCGAAACTTTTTTGATGACTATTTCCATGCATTTGTTGAGATATTACTGTGATAGTGCGGTCATATTAATGATCTTAATCAGTAAGTATTAAAAGGTAATATAAAGAATCAAACATCCAAATAGATCAACAGACTTTTCTTAAAAGATCATATCTGCTTGCCGAGTTACTCGCTTAGACGATGATCCCCACACTCGGGTGCTCCATTATCCCCTTCGATGACGTGGCAGGCCGTCAGTACTGATCCTTCCTCCCCCACCTCAGGCTACAGCAACTTACCATTTCCATGCATAACGTTAGAAATAATTTCCTGATCCCGTCCAGTTCCCCTGACACCCCTAAATCACCCCAAAACGGGTAATTCCCCCCCCCCTCCTCATGGGGACCCCTGCCTTAGAGGGTTGATTAATTCACCATTTACTCCAAACTCAGATATTTNATTATTTATCAGAATTTCCTTTTCTAGAGTCTTTATGATATGAAGTAGCGAAGTGAAACCAACAAATTGATTTTATTACATTTTATTTGCGCAACATTATTGTCATTGGTCAGAAAAAGTGAACAAACATAAACTTTCGAGCATACTGTCTTTCAAAGCATAATGTAAGCAGCACAAGTACTCAGGTTCGGATTTATATAAGAATAACATCAAATCGCGAAAGAGGAATTTTTGAATCTTTCAAACAATTGAATTCAACAACAGATCTCTTCAGAAACGTTTTTCCAGTAGTTCATCTTCATGATTTTCATGACCTGATGACCACATACACACACACAAGAGATTCCGAACTGTCTCAGAGAGGCATCTTGCAGATGAATCCGTCCAGCGGTGACCACGCTCCCTCACATCCAGCATCATCCCATAATCCAGTGTTCCCCACCCAATTCACTAGTACACACCTGACCGGTATCGTATTACCGCAACATTTGTCCGGTTGAGTTGGACGCCATCTGAAGAACGTTGCAGGGGAGCCGGTTGTGTACGTCCAAACGTTACCAACCAAGATCAAACCGATCCAGTAGGTTGTCACAGTGTTATTCAGTGCGAGTGCTGCAATGAAAACATTTCACATTTACCTTATTCTGTGACAGTAGACTGTTTCATATAAATTCGTCTTATAGAATCCATAGATTCGAGTAAGGACCACGCCAGCTTAAACCATCGAAGGAGGACAACTCATCATGCGGTTACCTCCAGATGACGGTTTTTTGTTC